TTTTTCTGCTTAGGCGCTGACCACAAAACAAATACGAAAGGTAAAATAACATTAAAAAAACGAATTTATAGCAACGATAACTTAAATTTATTTAAAGAGCAACTTTTACACCAAGACTGGAGCTATATAAACTTTAATGAGGATATAAATATCATCTACAAATCTTTTTTTAATATATTTTACAAAATATATGAAGCAAATTTTTCTATTCGAGAAATAGTTCTTAACGCCAAAGACATATCTTGTCCTTGGATAACTAAAGGAATAAAAAAATCATCAAAAATAAAACAAAAACTCTATATTAAATACCTTAAAAATAAATCCGACAAACATAAAAATAACTACACAGTTTACAAACTATTTGAAAAAATCTATTTGATATTTGAAAAAAATCTATTTGAAAAACTCCGAAAAAAAGCCAAACAAAATTACTACTCTGACTTGCTTATAAAACACAAGCATAATTCAAGGCGGGTGTGGCAAATAATGAAAGAAATTACTAGCAAACATAAGACAAACACAAATACGATGCCGAATGCTATAAAATTTGAAAATAAGTTAATTACCGATTCAAATGAAATCGCAACCGAATTCAATAACTTTTTTCGTCAATAGGACATAACCTATCAACCAAGATTCCTTATGTAGACAACGACTCTGTTGATGAGTTCATATCATCACCAAATTCAACTATAAATTTTTCAAATCTAACTTATAATGAATTCGAAATTGCATTTAAATCATCAAAAAGGAATAAAGCAATAGGGCCTGATGATATAAATGGAAATATTGTAATCGACTCTTTTAATGAGATTAAAGATATCCTCTTCAAAGTTTTCAAAGCATCTATTACTCAAGGATCGTTTCCAAATAGTTTGAAAATAGCCAAAGTAACTCCAATCTTTAAAACAGGTGACCATACCAACATAACAAACTATCGTCCTATCTCAGTTCTACCGGTCTTTTCAAAAATATTAGAAAGAATAATGTATAATAGAATTTACACTTATCTTATTGATAATAAACTCCTTTATAAAAACCAATTTGGTTTTCAGAGAAACAGTTCTACTGAACACGCTATTCTCCAAGTAACACGCAGTATTGCCGATTCATTTAAGAATTCTCAATTCACACTAGGTATATTCATTGACTTGTCAAAAGCTTTTGATACTGTTAATCGTCATATTTTAATAAAAAAGCTAGAGAGCTATGGTATAAAAGATAAAACCTTATATTGGTTCAAAAGCTATCTAGGTAACCGCAAACAATTTGTTTATAACAAAGAGTCTTCATCGCAAATAATAAAAAATATAATGTGCGATGTCCCCCAAGGGTCCATACTTGGACCACTATTATTTCTATTATACATAAATGATCTTTACAAAGCTTCTACCCAAACGACCGTAAATTTTGCAGATGATACGAATTTATTTCAGTCGCACGAAAACATAGAAATACTTTTTAATAATATGAATAATGAATTAAAAAGAATATCATATTGGTTTAGAAAAAATAAATTGTCCTTGAATACGGATAAAACAAAGTTTATACTTTTCACCCTACCTCTAAAAAAAGAGAATTCAAAATATCTTACCTGACCTAATCATTGACAATACAATCATAAAAAGAGAAAAATTTACAAAATTTTTAGGAGTCATAATAGATGAAAACTTATCTTGGAGTCAGCAAATTGATAGTATTTCAATGAAAGTTGCTAAAAACATTGGAGTTCTATACAAAGCTCGATATATACTAAATAAAAAGCAACTAACTCAACTATATTATTCATTTATTCATTGCCATATAAACTATGCCAATATTATATGGGGAAGCGCTCACAAAACCAAACTTAAATCTCTCTATCGGCATCAGAAACGCGCAGCTCGCATAATTAATTTTGGAAATCGTTTTTCAAGCTCAACACCACTTTTATAGAAATGAAAGCTTTAAATATATACGAACTAAATATTTTTAATATTTTATGTTTTATGTTTAAATGTTTTATGTTAAAACCCATTTTATAAAATATTATGTTAAAACTTGCTTAACATTTGAAGAATATTCTAACGCTTATGTAGTTTTTAATATTTGTAAATTTTCTACCTTTTAATTTGTTATATAGATTGTAAAGGGCTTCATGATAAGATCATGTGATCTTCCTACCAGTAATATATTCAATGTAAATTTACCTTGTACATATTTTTCTGGGAAAAAAACTTGTTAAATTAATGTTAAATTAAATTAATTAAAATAATATTTATATTTTATGATACCGCAAAATTTTCATAATTCACAGACCAGACCATTTAACGGAAATATGCCGTAGTCAACAAAATATCGTACAGACG